ATAACTGGAGACGAACCTGAAACGAACATAGAATGCCAAGTTACTAAGCCACTTCTTATCAAGGACCACTTTTCTTAATGCTGCCAAAGCTTTTGAAGATTTCTTCAGGTAGGTCTTTCCATTTGATGGTGTCTCCTCTGGGTAATGCCTGCATTCACCTTCTGCCCAGTTATGCTCACCACAAACATGATGTAGTACCCCAAACCAAACTTCCTGCAAATGGATGATTCAAAATAGTCTAACCTGCCACTCAGTAGACACAAAAAGTATGCAATACTGTTGATTTGGAGGTTTCAAACATTCCCATGACTTGTGTAATTGAATTTAAGTACATCTGGCTGTGAAACACTGTCACATCTGAATCCTTTATAATTAAGCATTACCAAAGAAGAGGACACTACATACACACTGCATAGGGAGGACTGCAAGTGTGATCAATTGTAGTGAAAGGAGTATTAATGTCTAAATAAAGTTTTTGATTGAGGAGTAAATCAAAAATCTCTCTATTGTTTTACCTTTGACACGTCCTTCACAGTTTTGGCAGCAAAACCAAAAATGACTCACAACATCATCAATCCACTCTTTAAGTGATTCACATCCTTTAACTCGAGCAGCCTGCAACAAAAACAAAGTAACTTATCTGTTAGGAATCATTAGTTGCTTCCAATTTCATCACAAAATGTTCTTGAATTCTTTTTTATTTTGCCCCTAAAATAATTTTTCTGGGAATTCAGCCATACTGGTCTCCTATAAATAATATGTGATAAGTGTTTATTAGTCAGAGAAATGTATCGTCATCCATCATCACTTTTTAATAAGAAAATGAAACAGCCACCTACTTGGTGAATACACTTGCTAAGTTTCTTGGCTTTATGCCAAATGTCAAGCGAGTGGAGCAACTCTAGTTGTGGAAATTTATCTGTCAAGAAATAAAACAATATACAAGCAGCATTACAATCACTGACATAAATTAAACCACAGCCACACATATAGCTCTATGAGACATTTTATGTCCTTGTAAAAATGAAGACTGCAGGTAATGATTCTTTCATAGACAGAAAGTTCAGATATATCACATCTGATGTGTGTCTACTTTAATTAAAATTTCAAGCATCAACTTCATTTGAATCCAGCATTTCTTATTACATATTCTGTAATAATCAAGTTTATCAACAGAATTTGCTTGTAAAGATAAAGTGATCACTTGCCTACAAGTGCATTACTTCTGACTACACTAAAAATATTTCTTAGATAAATCCCTAACCAATGTATCTTTCATTTCGCACACCAATTTTTATGATAGAGGATGAAGCATCTGTCGTTATTTCACTAAAAGGAAGAACAGTGGTCATTTTTTCCGAGAGTCGTCGAACACCCTCCTTTTCCATAGTGACAGAGTTGCCACCAGTTTCTCTCTTGTCAACAACAGCCATGTCAATGACAACTTTAGAAATTATTATCGCTGCAGCCAACAAATTATCATTAAGATAAATATCTGAATTGTGCTTTGCTCCCAGGACCTCTGAAGATCCATTTTTGGCTGTGCCCATTTCTACATTTCCTTGTGGTCTCAACTCGTGATCCAATGGAGGTGACATCTTGTGTTACACAGAGAACTTCTCCACAAACTTTCCCTCCACTAATGAAAGCACATGTGTCTGTGGATAGTTCGACCAACTTATTGATGGAAACAATCACCCTCATGCGCGAGTGTAAAGCAAAGTATACCTTGAGGTCTTTCACATCAGTCAACTGAGAAAATGTTTCTTCTAGCTTTTTCAAGGTTTTCTCTTTGTTTTTCTTTACTGACTTTGAGCCTTCAACCACCTGCTCCTCTGGCTGTGGACCAGGCTCATCACCAGCTACACATTCATCCTCATTGGATTGGCTACTGACAAAACTGTCACCATATAGAGGATCAATCATTGTCAGTGTCCTCTCATCTTCCTCAGAGCTGATGTCCATGCTGTAAATAAGCATCAAATAAATATTTTATTCATGAAAATAAATTCACTGAAATAATAATAATAATAATAATAATAATAATAATAATAA